TTTTACTCATCATTTTTATCTCTATATTTTTCCTAAAACTTTACCTTATTCATGTGTGTGAGTTGAAAAGTTATCAGTCTAAAAATATATCTGCAGTTCTTGAGAAAATCACAAGCTTTCTTTTACCTCCAGTAGACTAAATATATGTAATTAGTTCCATATATCCTAGTTTAACATAGATACGTATTATGAATCTGTCTCAATATATCTAAACTTTTCAATTTTTTTTATACATAGCAGTTGTACAACGTGAAAATGGGGGCACCAAAATACTACATACCAAATAGCAGAGGACTTCCTTTATATTTGCCTTAAATGTTTTAAGCTCAAATTTCAAAGGATGCTGCCTGATACTTGCACAGCTCCAGAGTTTTATATAGTATCATATTCACTTTATACTGCTCCAGCTCACTAAATTGAAATCAAATGCTTCTCAGTTTTGATCTTTCTAAATCATTTAGTTTCTGCCTTTTATTATTTTAGCTGTACTTCTCTGATCCTAACCTAAGGCAATTTTAGTATCATTAGAATACTAGTTCAAATGGCTTTCCCGATATATTTTCCCTTTATTGGTCATGTCTGACTATAATGCACTAGGATCAGAGAGTGGCAAAGTATGGTCATTGGGTAATTCAGCCTGTTACTTACTTTGATAAATTAAGTATTATTGGACATACCCATACTCGTTTTCATTATGTACTGTTTATGGCTGCATTCATCCTAAAACAGTAGAGTTGAATAGTTATGACTAACAATATGGAATTCAAGCCTAAAATGTTTACTATCTGGCCCTTTACAGAAAAACACTGCAACTGCTTCATTGGATTGATCTCTCATGATCTTCCTCTATCTATTTAGATAGATAGAAGTATTTTAATCAGTTATTTCCATTGTTTCTATACTATACATATTCCCTGCATTACAGTACATAAATTATTCCTAATCGTATACTAGTAAATAGAACAATTCAAAGCAAGGTCTCTCAATAATATCAACTTCTTTTTTCTGGTACTCCCTAACTTCCTAGAGTCTAGCATACATAGAAATAAGCTAAAAAGGAATTAATTCATACTCATGTTTACAACAGGAAATCACATATATCTTTGTTCTTTACCACACACTGACAAACTTTACAAGAAATATTACACAACAGTAAATCGGCAGTGGGACCTCTGGCTAAGAACTAAAGAGCCTAAGCCGCATATCTAAAATCAAACTACACCTAGTACTGGATTATGAAAAAAAACAGCACAATGTGTAGAATGGCTTTCTTTCCTCCTCTTTCTCACGCCAAATTCCTGACATTTCTCTGCCTTAAGATTCTCAGAGTGCAGTCTGATTTCCTAGAAGAAGGAAGTCTAGGAGAACAAGATTTAGTACACTATACTATCTTTGCTAGTGGACAGAGTCACTGTACTTTCTCTTTCATGTGACAAGAGCAGTAAGTAATAGTAGCCACATCCATAGCATATGGGAAAAGGCCAGGCTGTTGAGTGCTTACCTCTATCCTTCTCCCTATGCTTCAGACACAAAGCCTTGAGCACTACTTTATGAGCATTCTCTTCTTGTAACAATCCCCTGAGGCTGTTTGGCAAGTGTTAGATGGGGTTTTGATTACATTATAAAATAGATGTCTGGCTGAGATTTCAATGTTTGCAAGGGAGAGAAAAAATACTGGTGGAAAGAAATGAAAGTGTTAGGTACAATCTAAAACTATTTAGGACTACATCAGCTTAACAGTTCCGTAGAGTTCAACAGACTTCTTTATGTAGAATCCTCGGCTCAGAGTTTCAGCTAACAATAAATTTTAAGGATCTCAGTAAAGATAAACATATTTATATGAAAAATGTATATCAAGTATTACTTATTACAGTTTTGATTATAACTACTTTTTATTTTCTATGGGATTTAAAGACAAATGCATAAAATTACAAATCTATGTTAAATGCGTGCACAATATATAAGGATGTAATATGTGACAGCAGTAACATAAAATGAAGGGGGTGGAACAGTAAAGACTTTTTGTACACCATTCCAGTTAAGTTGGTATCAATTTTAAGTGGATTGTTACAACTTTACAATGCCATATGTAATCTCCATAATAATAAAAAAATCTATAAAGCACACAAGGAAAACAGAAGGGAATCAAACCATGTCACACACACACACAAAAAATCAACAAAATGCAAATGAAGGCAGTAAGAGAAGAAATAAGGAACAAAAAAAGCTGTAAAACATGGAAATAAATAACGAAATGACTAAAGTCCTTCCATATCGATATTTACTTTAAATGTAAATGCTTTAAGCTTTCAAATCCAAGATATAAATTGACAGAATGGATGAAAAAAATGAGATCCAATTATAGGCTGTCTGCCAGAGACGCAGTTTAGATCTAAGGACACAAACAGTTTGAAAGTTAAAGAACAGAAAAAAATATCCCATGCAGGTAATAAATGTAAGAAATCAGGAATAGCTTTAATAAAAGCAGTCAGAAGAGTTTATAAGTCAAAATCTGTACTAGAGACAAAGGACATTATACAATGATAAAAAGGTAATTTCATAATATATATGCATCAAACATCAAATATATGAATCAAATACTGACAGAATTGCGGAAAGAAACAGATCTACAGTCATCAGACTTCAATACCCCATTCCAGTAGCTGATGTAACAACCAGAGAGAAGCCCAGCAAGAGGACGAGAACAATGCTATTGACAAAAATAGACCAAAACGGCAGAATACACATTTTTCTTAAATGCACACAGAACATTCTCCAGGACAAACCATAAATAAGGACACAAACAAGTGTCAAGTTTTTTAGAGGTCTGACATCACTGAAAGCATCTTTTCTGATCACAATGGAATGAAACTAGAAACCAAAGAAGGAAATTGTAAAATTCACAAATATGTGGAAATTAAACAACACACGTATTAAACAATAAGTCAAAGAAGAAATCACAAGGAAAATATGAAAATATATTGAGACGAGTAAAAATGAAAACACAGAATATCAAAATTTATAGAATATAGCAAAAGCCATACTGAGGGAAATGTATGGCTGTAAACACTTATGTTAAAAAAAAGATCTCAAATCGGGCGCCTGGGTGGCTCAGTCGTTAAGCGTCTGCCTTCGGCTCAGGTCATGATCCCAGGGTCCTGGGATCGAGCCCCGCATTGGGCTCCCTGCTCAGTGGGAAGCCTGCTTCTCCCTCTCTCTGCCTCTGCTTCTGTTCCCTCTCTCGCTGTCTCTGTCAAATAAATAAATAAAATCTTTAAAAAAAAATCTCAAATCAACAAACTAACTTTACACCTTAAGAAACTAGAAAAAGAGCAAGCTAAACCAAAAGTCAACAGAAGTAAGGAAATAAAGAGCAAAGAGAACCAAAACAGACAACTGAGAAATAACAGAGAAGTTCAACAAAACTGATAAGTCGTTCTTCAAAAAGATCAACAGAGTTGAACTTTTAGGTAGACTGAGAAATAAAAAGAGAAAAGACAACTAAAATCAGAAATGAAAGCAGGAATATTACTACCAAGTCTACTGAAATAAGAATGATTGTAAGACAGCACTATGAACAATTTTACACCAACAAACTGGATAATCAAGATAAAGTGGACAAATTCCTAGAAACCTAAACCTACCAAAATTCTAAACTGTGAAGAAATAAAAAACCTGGATAGACCTATAACTAGTATGGAGATTGAATCAGTAATCAAAAATCTCCCAATAACGAAATGCCCATGATTAGAGGATTTCAGTAGTGAATTCTAGCAAACATTTTAAAAGAATATAAATTCTTCTCAAATTCTTCGAAACACCAGCAGAGAAAGGAACACTTTCTACCTCATTTTAAGGCCATTATTACTCTGATACCAAAGCCAGATAAAGACACTTGAAGAAAAGTATAGACCAATATACCTTATGACCACTGATGCAAAAATCCTCAACAAAATTCTAGCAAACAAAACTCAACAGTACATTAAAAAGATTATACACCATGACCCAGAATTCATTCCTAGATTGCAAGGATGGTTCCGCATATGAAGACAAATCATTATAATACACATTAATAGAATGAAGGAAAAGAAATACATGATCATTTCCTCTGCTAAAAAAAGTATTTGAAAAAATTCAACACACCTCCATGATAGAAACATCCAACAAGTTAGCAACAGGAAAACTACATCAACATAATAAAGGTCATATATGAAAAAACCCACAGCTAACATACTCAATGATGAAAGACTAAAAGCTCTTCCTCTATGCTAATGATAAAGGGTGACTGTTTAAAGCACTTCTACTCAACGTAGCACTGGAAATTCTAGTGCAACTAATTAGCCAAGACAAAGTTAAAGGCATCCAAATTGGAAACAAAGTAGTAAAACTGCCTTTGTTCAAAGATGAAGTGATCTTATTTGTAGAAAACCCTAACAATTCTGCACACAGACACACAAACACACATAGAAATAAACGAATTCAGCAAAGTTACAGAATATTAAAATCAACTCAGAAGAATCCATTTCTATACAGTAACAATAAACAATCCAAAAAGGATATTAAGAAAACAATTCCATTTACAATAGCAACAAAAAGAATAAACTTAACCAAGGAATTAAAAGACATACACTGCAAACTACCAAAACGCTGCTGAAAGAAATCATAGAAGACACAAAGAAATGGAAAGACATCTCATGTTCATGGATTGGAAGACTTAATATTAAGATGTCACTACTCAAAGCATTTACAGATTCAATGCAATACATATCAAAATTGCAGTATCTTTTATAAAAACAAAAAATCCACCCTATAATTCATATAGAATCTCAAAGGACCCCAAAGAGCCAAAACAATCTAGAAAACAAAGTTGGATAACTCATACTCTTGATTTCAGAACTTACTACAAAGCTATAGTCATCAAAACTGTGTGGCTCTAAAACAAAAACAAAACAAAACAAAACAAAAACTGTGTGGCTCTGGTATAAAGACAGAAACAGAGACCAAGGAAATAGAACACAAGACCCAGAAATAAACACTCACACATATGGTCAAATGATTTTCAATAACAGTACCAAGACTATTCAACAGAGAAAGGATAGTCTTTTCAAAAAATGGTGCTGGGCAAACCAGATATCCACATACAAAAGAACAAAGCTGAGTCCATACCTTATACCGTATCCAAAAAAACCCTCCAAAACTATCAAAGAACTGAACATGAAAGCTGAAAGTATAAAACTCCTTGTAAAAAAGATACAGAACTCTGAACTGAATTTGAAAATAATTTCTTGGATATAACACCAAAAGCAAAGGCAACACATAAACTGGACTTAATATTTAAAACTTTCATGCATCAGAGGACAGTATTAAAAGAGTGACAAATAAGGCAATCCACAAAATGAGAGAAAATATTTGCAAATCATTTATCTGATAGAGTTAACATGCAGAATATATTTAAAAACAAAACAAAAAACCTCCTGCAACTTAACAAAAATCCCAATTAAAGATGGGCAAAGGACCTGAAAAGATATTTCTCCAAAGAAATATGTAAACTGCCAGTAAGTACCTGTAAATTACCTAATCAGTAATCATTAGGAAAATGCAACTGAAAACTCTAATTAGATACTACTTCATATGTATTGGGGAGGGCTATTTTTAAAAATAAGAAAATAAGAGGTGGAAAAATTGGAACCCATGAGCACTGCTCGTGGAAATACAATGGTACAGCTGCTATGGAAAACAAGTAGGGCAGTTCGTCAAAAAATTAAAAATAAAATTATCTTATGATCCAGAAATTCCACTTCTGAATATATAAACAAAAATTTAGAGCAAGGACTCGAACAGATATTTGTATATCAATCTTCACGGCAGCATTATTACACCAGCTAAATTTCATTGGAATAATCCAAATGTCCACTGACAGATGAAGAGATAAACAAAATGTGATCTAAATATATGCAGTGGAGGGCGCCTGGGTGGCTCAGTTGGTTAAGCGACTGCCTTCGGCTCAGGTCATGATCCTGGAGTCCCGGGATCGAGTCCCGCATCGGGCTCTCTGCTCGGCAGGGAGTCCGCTTCTCCCTCTGACCCTCCCCCTCTCATGCTCTCTCTCTCTCTCTCATTCTCGCTCTCAAATAAATAAATAAAATCTTAAAAAAAATAAAATAAATAAAAAAATAAATAAATATATGCAGTGGAATATTTTTCAGCCTTAAAAACAAATGAATTTCTGGTATATGCTACAATATGGATAAACCTTGAAGGCAATATGCTATGTACATAACTCAGACACAGAAGGACAAACATTGCATGGTTCCATTTACGTAAGGTACCCAGAGTAGCCAGATTTATAGAGCAATAACATAATCAATCATGACTGCCATCGGCTGGGAGAGTGGGGCATTATTATTTTACGAATACAGTTTCAGTTTGGGAAGATGACAAAGTTATGGAGATGGATGGTGATGGATGTGAATGTACTTAATGCCACTGAATTATACACTTAAAAATAAAGTTGATGTTACATATATTTTACCACAAAAAAAAAATCAGTGAAATATGGTATTTCCTTAGAAAATCTACAATCTCACGAAAGAGACAATACATACTTGGGCATCCTTATATCCATGAAAACCATGGCCTTAGAGAGCTCCACATTGAAGTGCATAGGTACCAAAATATGCTGTGTAGATACACTGAGTTTTCGTGCTTCTCTCCAATCATCGCCTAATTATGGAAAACAATACATGTTTATTTAGCACACATATAATTTGAAAAACACATTAAACCTAAAATCACTATTAATACTTCATAGTCATATACTGCATGGTATGGAAAAATCTTCCTACATCTAGATAATCTTAATGCCATCTTCCCAGGTACACACAATGAGCAGGTAAATTCATTTCCCTTTCACTCCTTTTGCTGCTTCAAAGACTCTCTGTTTCAATAAGAAAAGGCTTATTAAAAAACCAACAACACAGTTTAATCAAATCTAATGTGCATCCATTTACCGTCACTACACCCAGCAGATACTTCACCCAAAAAATAACATGGCTCTAAGGCAATAATGAAAAAGATAGATAAAAGCACAGTTCTTCTGTATTAATAAAAGCTACCAATTATTCGAGATTTGTAATAGGCACTGTTCTAGGCAATGTTTAAATTCTCATTTAATTCTCACAATGATGTTTAATCATCTCATTTTAGAAAACTGAAACTCAGGAACTTTTAATTTGCTTATGATCAAAGGGCTAGTGTCTGATACAAGCTGAAATTTACATGCAGATCTGTTAACATGAAATTTGTGTGATACAATGCATCCTCATACACATTAAACCTCATCTGAGCCTAATAATTGAGTAAGAAAAAGTCCTCAATCAAGGAAGACCAAGCCAATGAAAGATTAGATGCAGAAAAAGGTAGTAAAATGAACTCTATTACAATTTTTAAAATTCTAACAGTATCAGGATTAATGAAATATTTCCTTCTATTCTCAGTATTTATCAAGAGAGTTTATGACAATTACCTAAAGTAACCCCAATGTCAAAAATACAGTGCTCTAAAAAAGATTCAATTATTTAAGAACAGTTAACACTTATAAAAACAATTCTAAGGAATTTCAATAATTTTCAGACAATAATGGAATACTTCAAATTTTTCTTCACAAAGCATCTCAATATGTTAAATATTAAGTATACTTCATGGAGTTCAAAAATAAATGACCAAAGTGTACCAAACATACCACAAATACTGTCACTTATTACTTGAAAAAATTTATGGGTTTTCTATAAATAATTTATATTTGCCACCCACTACACTTCTGGGCTTCTCCTACACCAACTAGAATATGATAAAAACAGAAATCAAGTTTATTATCCTAAAACAAATATAAAGAAAATAAAAATGTCCCAGAAATATATAATTTAACACTTTTAATAACCATTACTTTGGGTTCTCATTGTTTCTTTTTATTGGTTAGCTCAGATAATTAAAATTTGACCATATACACACGGATCTCTAAAACATTCACCAATCCAACACTGTTGAATTATCTAAATGTTTATGTTTACTAACACATCAGGGATTCAGAAACAGTATGACACAGCAAAAAGAGGGCTCAACTAGTCTCAAATCTCTCACTATCTACTTTGAGTGGCTCCTCATAAGTCAATTTCTGGCTCTGTTGACTTCATCGAAAAACTAGATCTGAATCAGGGACTCCATCAAAAGTGAATGGGGTAAAGGTATGCCTGTGATACCCTCCTCAATCCTCCTAACATATTCCTTGGTCTTTGTGTGGCTCTTTATGGCCTAGAGGGTCAGAGGCCCCAGGCTGGAATGCCTCTGGCTGTGAGCAGACTCTTCTGATTATCGTGTATACAATAAATATTTTAAATATGTGCCAATGTTTTCCAACCTTGTCCAAAGGATTTCTCAATTTCAGCACTATTGATACTTGGGCCAAGTAAGTGTTGTGGGGTGGCTTTCCTCTACATTGTATGAACTTCAGCAGCATCCCTAACTTCCACTCACTAGATGCTAGTAATGCCCCTACTCCTCACCCATGACAATCAAAAATGTCTCCAGACACTGACAAAGTCTCTTGAGCAGTAAAATCAAATATCTGAGATATTGCTCCTAGATACTATCTACTATTACTTCTAATTCAAAAGTATGAAAGTTTTATTTTTTTAAAGATTTTACTTATTTATGTAAGAGCGAGAAAGAGAATAGGGAGAGGAAGGGGGAGGGGCTGAGGGAGAAGTAGACTCCCCACCGAGCAAGGAGCCAACACAGGACTCAATCCCAGGACCCTGAGATCATGACCTGAGCCGAAGGCAGACGCTTAACCAACTGAGCCACCCAGGTGTCCCAACAACTGAGCCACCCAGGTGTCCCAAAAATATAAAAGTTTTAATATATATGGGATGAAGGTCTTCAGAGAAACTGTCTAAAAACCTAGTTAATCATTTCAGCAACATGAATCAATAAAGAATGCATTATATACTTACCAACTGTGCTGTAAAGCAGCTGTATGCTTGTAAGCTGAACATCAAAGGAATCATAAGCTCTATGCATGATCTCTTCAAGTCTGGCCCCAGCTGGTTTCATATCTGGCAATTCTGAACGACTTTTACTTGTCACCTTAAGTTAATTTTAACAGTTTAGATGATGCAAAATACTTCAAAATAAAAATATAAATTTTTTTTTTAAGACTCTAACACAAAAATTTAATAGAAGGTAAGACAGACTCACAAGCTGACATGTAAGGCTAATAGAAAGGTCTTTATCCATAACATGTATAAAGAGAAGACCAGGGACAAAGTGAATTTTTACATACTAAGTTATATTGCTCAATTACGTAATTAAAAGAGGGAAACCAAGCCAGCCCTGGAGAACAATACATTTGAACCTTTATCTGATAAGAGACGAACAAAGCCTACATAATGTTTCTATGTCATGATGACAGATATTTTGATAGGTTTAGAAGAATAATCCAGAATTAAATATTAGGATAGCTAAATTGTAGTCCCAACTCTGCCATTTAGACAACCTCACATAAGTTATATTTGTACCATCTCCTTCGTGGCATACTATACATACTACTTTTTTCACTTAAACATCCTGGAGATCAATCACTCCACCACAGTATATAAAGATCTTACTCACTCGTGTGTGTGTGCACGCACACACATGCTTTAACATTTTCACCTCTATTTTATATAGCTCACTGTGCAGCAGACTGTCAAAACTGATTATCTCTGAAGGGTAATGAATTTTAGATAAAAGGTTAAACAAATTGCCTAAGGTCACAAAACTAGATAGATACTTTACCCCTGACGTTATGCTCCTGCTACCAAACCACACTGCCCTTGAAACAATTCTATAGTTAAATATGAATAACTGTATAAATTTTATTATAAACCTAAATCCAACAAGTGTTTATCTAATTATGAACTGAAGAGTAAAAACAAAGAATAAAGGATAATGTCAATATCAAGGAAAGGCACATATTTGTTAGGTAGCTAGAAAAGCTTTCCAATATTACCCATCCTTCTTGGGTCTTTAAAATTCTTATAGCTATTTAATATACATTTAACGATCTAGAGCAGTCCCATAGAACTTTCTACAAGGATGGCACTGTTCTCTATGTGTGCTGAAATAGCAGCCCCAAGGCACTTATGATCATTAAATTCTTGAATGTGGCTAATGTGACTAAAGAACTAATTTTATAAGTTAATTTTAATTAACATATAAACACATAGCCAGTGGGTACCACATAAAACAGTGCAGATCTAGAAACACAGAAAAAAATGATTCTCTACTCAAAACTGAGGAAGAAAAATGTACATAATTGGATGGAAAGGGAAATGCTTAGGTAAATTCAATCAGATTGTCTCTCAAGTTATGATTATTTAACAGAGATATTAAAATGTCAGTATCTACAGTTATATACACAAAAAATTTCAGAAGGATGAAGATTTGATTATTTCCAGAATCCCATTTGATGTATTTTAATAAGTAGTAATTTTACATTGAAAAGGAAATAATCTCCTCAAACATTACTCTCAAATTCTATAAATAAAATTCCTAGGTTCACCCCTAACCTGCAGAGTTCAAAATGATCATTTTGGTATCAGAAATGTAGAAAAACTACCTGGTTAAATGAAACTTAACATTATTTACTAGAAAGAATTTTCAAATCCTACAATCTACCATAAAGCTAATAATCACAATAGCAAATCAAACTGTTTAAAAAAACAAAATGCATCTTAAACAGAGAAACAACTTTAAATATCATAATATAGGGCAAATGTTAGTATATACCTTTAGATGACCAAGATCCAAAAGTAGTAGATTTGATGTAGGGCTAAAAATTCCACCTTGTGGGATAATAACATATGAAGCCTTCAAATTAATTTTGAGATCAAGAACTTTCTGTGTTTCAATAATATACAGTAGACCTGCAGAAAATTTAAATTGAAAATAATGTGATGCATTAATTTTAAAAATACCTTGAGAAAATATTTTCAACATAATGTAATTTGTTAATCAATGTCTGTGTACACTCCTAATTCAATATAACTGAGTACAAAATTGTAATGGTTCCTCAAAGAAATGTTTCTAACACACAAACTCAATTTGGGTAAAACCAGGGACATACATATCTAAAAAATCAAGTTCTATGAAACATTCAATAAGCTTGAAACTTAAGTACAGAACTGACTCAAAGCATAGTTAATTTTTTTCCCCCAAATGATCTGTATTCAAACACAACATGGTTTTACTCAAGTTAGTTTGTATGGTATGACAGGTAGGAGAGTCCCAAGCAGCAGCCAGAAAGGACAATATGGCATTCAAGATTCTCAGTCTCACCAGTAAGCATTTTTCTATCTTCATTTCCATCTCCACTGTTAAGACTTCCTCAATCAAAATAATCTGTCTCAGGGCGCCTGGGTGGCTCAGTCGTTAAGCTACTGCCTTCAGCTCAGGTCATGATCCCGGGGTCCTGGGATCGAGCCCCCCATCGGGCTCCCTGCTCCGCAGGAAGCCTGCTGCTCCCTCTGCCTCTGCCCCTCCCCCTGCTTGTGTTCCTGCTCTCGCTATGTCTCTGTCAAAGAAATAAAATAAAATCTTAAAAAATTTTAAAAAAATAAAATAATTTGTGTCATGTATTCCTGATTCCACAAATCCAAGTCCTGTGCTCCCTGGAAGTCTTACCTCAGGCCTTACTTTCAATGAGAGCTTCCTGGATGCCAGGAGACATTGATCTGTCTAGTTTGTTTCTTAATGGAAGAGGGGGACATTGAATAATTGGTTTTGGATTTAAGTCTACTGTGTCTCTCCTCTACTTCCCACTGCACTGAGAACAAAATCCTAATTGTTTAATATGACTTTCAAAGTCTTGTTTTACCAACACTATGCCTGCCTTTTTAACATCATTCCACTCCCCCTCGCTTACTACATTAGAACCAACCTAGCCTTCTGTAGCTGCCAAAATCACCCAATTCTGTCCCAGGCTGGGACCCTCACAGTTTACCACTGCTCTGAAGATTCTTCCTTATACTCTTCAGCTGGGTGGGTCCTACACACACATCTGGTCTTAATGTTACTTTTTCAAAGAGGTATTCTCTGACCCTGTCACCAAAACTATATGGAGATACCCATTATTCTCATTTCCTTCACAGCATCTGAGTTCGTTAGCAGTTTGTTTCCCCCATCAGCTCCAAATTCACCCATGTGTCTGCCTTGTGAATGTAGATCTGAGCCTTCAATCCTTTTCTGTTGCAAATTAATACTGAAGGAGATAGGAAACCCTGGGGAGACACTGCAGGAAGAAAAGATGTTGCTTCCTGGTGTCAGTGTGCTCACTCAGCAATATCCTACAGCGGTGCGACTTCCCCCAAAACCAGGTGCATGCTGTGCACAAGTACCAACAGCATCCAACAGCCATCCTTTCCCTAAAAAACCCCCTTCAGTCAGTTTCACAGCAGAACGCATTCAGGGAGACACTCTCCCATGAACAGCTTCACTATCACATCAGAGGGTAAGTTCCAGTAAGTTTCAGAGAGCAAGTTTCCAGCCACTTTCCCCAACACAGCATGAAACTCAGTCCTTGGGGAAGACAAGGATATCCTGCCAGGGGTGCAATGTCTGTGTGACGGCAGTGGGTACTTCTTACAGCTACTCTTCCTGGGTTCTTTAAAATTGCTTTTTAAGTGAATTTTAAATTTAAGTGGATAACGCTTAGTTTTATGTCTGTCCTATCTTAAGATTATAAGATCCATCAAAGGGCTAAAACTACATCTGTTTTTATCACTACTTTGCTCTCCAAAACTTAGCACAGTGTCCAATAGAGACTCGATAAATATTTGACTGAGTGAGTAAATGAGGTCACTGAAAGAAATGAATAACTATGATCCTATCAGAGAGCCTTATTTTTCAAATGAAGCGTTTTCATAAATAACCACATTTGTCAAAACAACCACATTTGACAAGGGTAACTAACTACATGTTTATGTTCTAGAAGCTGATCCCCCTACTTGACAAAGAAGAAAAGATCTGAAAACTTCACTCCCAAGAATGAAGAAAATAATACGAGAAAGAAATCAGGTTATAGAGGAAGAGGATAATAGAGGCTAACATAGAAAAAAAAAAAAAAAAAA